GGTTTTGTGTTCCCTGTGCTGGTTTCCTCTGGTTCGCTGAGTTCAAGTAAGAATCAACACAAGCTGGGGATAGTGGCACACATGAGATCCCAGCACTTGGAAGGTCGAGGGAGGAGGATTATACAAATTCAAAGTCAGCCTAGGACTCTGTCTTAAATAATAGCAATAACATTAATAAAGAATGTGCGGTGGTTTGAGTATGCGTGGCCGAGGGAGAGTGGCACTATTGGCAGGTATAGCAATATTGGAGTAGGTGTGGCCTTGTGGGAGGATGTGTCTCACTGTGGGGGTGGGCTTTAAGGCCTGGACACTGCCATGCTTCCCACCATGACAATAATGACTGAACCTCTGAACCCGTAAGCCAGCCCCAATGAAATGTAGTTCTTTATAAGAGTTGCCTAGGTCATGCTGTCTCTTCACAACAATGAAACCCTAACTAAGACAGAATGTATGGTGAAGCATCCCTTTAATCCCAGCACTAGGGAGGCAAAGACAGGCAGATCTCTAAGTTCAAGGCCAGCCTGGTGTCCAGAGTAAGCTACATGACAGCCAGGGCTACATTGAGATAGCCAGTCTCAGGAAAAAAAAAAAAAAGAAGAAGAAGAAGACAGATGGGGCACGTGGGAATGTGTGTTGAACATTGGTACATCTAATATGGCATATAAATGTTCTCCTTTTGGAAATTGTATGACAAAATTGGGAAGAAGGCCTAAAACAAGCTTATCTATACAAACATCAGAGGGGCAATAATAAAGCCAATGACACCAATTTGTTTTTGTTTTGTTTTTTTTTTAAATATCCCATTCCTCTGAAGAATTGAGCTTTATTGTTAGGATGGCTTTAAGCTTCTTAGAATCGAGACAGAAGCAGGAAACATGCACTCTGCCAACAAAGACTCACTTCAGCACAGTTCACCTACGGATACATCTGCTTTGCTCCCGGCCTAGCAGGACAGAAGATAAAGCCATGGAGGATTTGCTCAGGGTGGGCTGGCTTCTGCTGGAGGCACCTGGACCAGATAAAATTTCCTTTCTCTGTTTCTTGTTTCTGATATAAAACGAAGTAGATGACTAGTGTTTACTGGGCTCATGTTAGCAGTGAAGCACAAAGTGCCATCTCCTCCTTTTGTTGTTCCCTGTGCATAGAAGCTCTTTTAGGGGCTCCCTTCCCTGCAGTACCAAGAACATGCTTGTCAAAGCCATAGTGTGCTATGCAGGTGTTCTGTACAAAGGAAACCCTTCCCATTGTCCCATTGTTTTCAGTGTCCAGAGCCAGTGGCTTTTTGGGATTGGTGTTGCTGCCAGAGCCCTGAGCATCACTGTCTCTCCCTGGAGCACTGGTTCACAGAGGCATCTTTCTTTCAGCTCCTTTGATCATACCCAAGCCTCTTTGGTAAAAACAGCAATAGCAGCAACAACAACAACAATAACAACAACAACAACAACAAAAATCTAACTTCTACCTGTATCTGGCTGAATCTAAGGTTTGGTTTTCCATTCCAGATTTCTTTCCAAATCATCACCACCTAACAAGAGTATAGGGACATCGGGTAGCCAGAGTTCAGCTTACTAGAAACTCTATGACAGGGAAGGATATGCAAAGGCTTGGAACTGGCTTTGGTGGAAAGAACAAGAAAGGCCATGTCAGGTTGGGTAGCAGTGACTGAGAGGAGAGAAAAGTGTCTTTTGTGAAGAAATGCCAAAGAAGAATAAAACTTTACATTAAGAGCAATGTAGGAGAGCACACAGCATTCTCGTGAGCAGAGTGAAAGGACAGAGGGACACGGGTAGGGACTGGGTGATGTGGGGTTCTGCTCTAAGTGGAATTGGCCCCTGGTGCTTCCTCCTAGCCCTCCAGCCTGCTGCCACACCAGAGGGACATGTACCACACCAGCCCATCCTGCCAAGTACCATTGCCATTCTCCAAGGCTGAGGAGGAGTCAGAGAATTATTTACAAACAAAATTATTAAATATTAATAAATTATTCATTTCAAACATAAGGAAAGGTTTGTGTTTAATCACAGAGTGACTGAAAACTGCCTTATTTCTATAGACATACATGATAAATCATTTGGGGTCATGTCAAGCCCAAAGCATTGGCTCTTGTTTGTGAGGAGGTCACTTTGACTGTGGTCAGGCCTCTTATAAACAGCTAAGTACATATTAAAGGATCAGGCGTGCAGCCCAAGCTTTCGAGGGACCAAATGCTTGCTTCTGGAACCACATTCAGTACTGGATTTCTCAAACTCTCAGGTAGGAATAAAGACTGAAACTCTCAGAAAACTTAAAGAACAACCTACCCTTTTTTCTTTGTCAGTCAGAGGTTCTTTTCAACCCTTTTCCCTCCCATCCCCCACAATGACCTGCCTTCTAACTATGGGGTCTTAAGTAGAGATTGTGTTGTGTTTTACAAACAGCCATGACTAGGACAATCCCGAGAGATACTCAGAAACTCTGGGCACAGCGCTGCAGTGGCTTTCAAAGTCACACCTGGCAGGACACTAAAGGCATGGCCTCCTGAAGCTTGAAGGCTAGCAGGAGATAGGCAGATAGGACCCACCACCACTTCTTTGTGTGCATGTGTGGGGTCTTTCAGGTAAAGGTGGAGGTGGTAGAGACCCTGGGTTGTGGGTACAACACACCAAGTCCAGCCTACCAGCACCCGCATCTCTTTTCTTCTGTTATTTCAGCAGGGCTCAACATTTGAACTCAAATCACTGGCCAGCCTTCTAACTCCAGGAGCCCAGGCTGTATTACACCACAATCTCAACAGGAAGTAGGCAACTATACTTTTAAATATCCTCAGGAGAGTCTGACAGGCCAGCAAGATTGAGTTAATTTCTTAGAGAACAACAGGAGGATCACTCTTAAGAGGCCTTCAAAGTGTACCTTCCTGTTTCCTATTGTCCTTGAGTCCCTTCCCTGGGAGCTGAGACCTGTGATGTTTCATATGGTACTGGGGAGGGGGGTCCTACTCCCCTCCAACAGGGAGAGGTTGTGTAGGAAGGCTAGAGCATAAGGGCTTGGGGCAAAGAGGTAAACCACGTCAAGTATTTACTACCATGTGCTTGCACTCTCGTAGGTACTTTACCTACCATTCATTTCCGAGCAGCACAATGAAGTTAACCTAACATTACCATAGAGAGGCCACAAGTTGGTGGGAAAGCTAATTGGATGCTCACAGGACTAAATAACTCAGCCCAAGATGAACACCTGAGGGTCTGGCCTGGAGTCTTGGCTTCATTACTGTGCTGGCTAGTCTCATGTTAACTTGACACACAAACTAGAGTTATCAGAAAGGAGGGGACCTTAATTGAGAAACCGTCTCCATAAGATCCAGCTGTAAGGCATTTTGTTAACTAGTGACTGATGGAGGAGGGCCCAGCCTATGGTAGATGGTGCCATCTCTGGTCTGGTGACCTGGGTTCCGTAAGAACACAGGCTGAGCAAGCCATGAGGAGGAAGACAGTGAGTGGTACTCCTCCATGGCCTCTGCGTCAGCTCCTGCCTCCAGGTTCCTGCCCTGCTTGAGTTCCCGGTCCTGAGTGCCTCTGAGGATCAGCTGTGATACATAAGCTGAAGAAACCCTTTCCTCCCCAATTTACTTTTTGGTTATTGAAGCAATAGAAAGCCCAACTGAGTACCTTCCTTAGAGATGAAAGCGGTGATTGCTTCATTAGATAACAGCCTCACTTTGAAAGTCCTTACTGCTTATGTTATGTTCCAAACCTGGACAAATGGCTGAGGTGTCTACGTTACATATCAAAGTGGACCTGGCCTCCAGGGTCTCCCAGCATCCCTCATCCCTACCTGTTACAGGATGTAGCTGGCATTCCCTGCCCACTACCCTGAACTCCCCAGCCCAGGGGCTAGGCTGCCCTTTCCCCAGAGACTCTTCCTTACATAATCCAGATATTATTGGGCACCCACCCTGTTTTGACCTTTGGCCTCCTGGCTGTAGTTGGTTCTCCTCTCCCTTCCCCCCGCCCCCACCTCTGGACTCTCCCAATTGTGTCTGCCTCTGGCTATGTTTTCCCTTTTATCTATAATAAACTTTCTCTTCCACCACACCTAGGAGTGGTCATGTCTTTTCCTTTCCTATGCTATCTATTTCTTTTTTTTTTAATTCAATATGCTAACTATATCATTACTTGTACTTATTATTTATTTGTATTCTGTTCAGTTCTTTCACAATCATTGTTTCAAATACAAACACTGCAAGACTAGAAATCCAGAGAGGTTGAGTAACTAGTTTACAGTCATGCAGCTAGGAAGGGTCAATAATTCAGATACTTAAACTAATTGAACTCAAAAGGCCATGATTTCTCCTTAATCTCATGGCAGAACCAAGCCCTCAGCAGGGCAAAAGTGCTGGGGTAGCATTCAGTCTCACTGCCAAGTAGTGGGGTGGAAGCAGGGATGAGGGGAAGGAATGGACCTGATTCTCTGGCGGGGCCTCGTCAGGTTAACTCAGAAAATATTGTTTTCAGACTGTCAGATTTAGTAAATTATTAATATTAGAATGGACACAGAACTCCCCACAGAAAAGATGATTTTTTTGACAGATCACAGAGGTCATGAAGTAAGAAAAGGGTCAAAGTTTCAAGCATTAGATTTACAAGAAACTGTGGCATACAACTCAGACAGCTGCAGGCTGGACGCTGGCTGTGAACAGGTTTTCATGGGACTGTTCACAGTTGCTGTGTGGGGCTGCAGCCTGGCCTCAGAATTAACCAGCTGGAGCTGTTTCTCAGATTACAGACCATGTGTATTTCTAAAACAGCAGGGCAAGACTCAGGGAAACTTTCACGGAGATCTTTCAGGAAGAGTGGTTTGCAGTGCAGCTAAATGAATGGGACTCTCAACAGCCATTAAGTCACCGATGAGTATGACATCAACACAACCCTAGTAGTCTCCTCGTCCAAGCCCTTCTTGCAATCAGGAAACTGGATAAAATGCCTACTATTCGCTGGCAACTTATACAACCATAGGCATTGACATAGTTTTCCATATGTATATTTAAAAAGTTGCTAAGGTCACATGAAAGAAATCTGAATTAGACATAAAAACTAAGAGCCACACAATCATGCTACTAATGTTTAAAAAACTGGGTCGCTTTTCCCTTCTTTCGGCTTCCAGATCATGTGCTCAAACGATTGGTTTTCCACATCACGTCTAGTAAAGTTCTAAATGCCAGTTACTATTGTCCAAGGCCCACGGATCGTAAACTGCACATGGGCGCTGCCTATGTCTGTATGTGTATATGGTGGGATGTGCATAACTTCAGGCTGCTCTATCCACATTTTCTGCTCACATTCTCTTGAGACTGAGCATCCATTTTCAAGACAGCAGGTCTCCAAAGGTATGGTGTGGAGCCTGGGGAATGGAAGGGAAGATTCAGTGTCCTGGCCATCACCACACACACACCCATTCTGTTGGTATCAGGCTGGAGCTCAGTGACATCACATCTAGGCGACCTCGCCATACACTTCCAGAATCCATCTGGCTACCTCACCTTTACCTGGGAAGAGGCTACGACACCGCCCATATGAAACAGGAAGAACTCTCTGACCTCGCCCTCTTTTCTCCGCCATCTTCTCTCATTTCTCTCTCCCCACCTTTGCCCATCTCCTGAATAACCACCCCCCATCTTGGAACCGTTTCGTCTGGTGTTGCTGCGCGCCGAAGTCTAACACACACACACACACACACACACACACACACACACACACACACGCCCCTCTGGCAGGAGAACCTGGGACTGTGAATTTACATTGTCTTGCACAATAAAGTTTGAGATTAGCAAGCAAAAGGACCCAGGAAACTTGGGCCTTGTCTGCCACTGAAGCAGGTTAGGCAGATTTCTGATGAGGGAGGAATAATTACTGTTCCCAGCAATTGGCTAACAGGCCAGCAAACGTCCTGCCCCCCGCTGCAGCCCCTTCCCTCCACCAGCCCCTCGTTCCTTCCCTCGCATTGAGGAGGCTGGACCACCGCCCAAGACCTAGAACCTAACCCCAGGCACTAAAGTGCTCGCGCACCAGTTCTGCGGGATCTGGACATGGGCCTGAGCAAGGAAGGGCCGACAACTCCAGGCGTCCGTATCCCTCCCCGGGCAGTCGCCCGCGCTGCCCCAAGCGCGCCATTACCCGAAGGTGGCTGCGGGCTCGGCCTGGGGTACGTAGATCCGGGATTTCAGGGGCGAGAGGAGCAGCCGCAACCGCCGGGCCGCGGGGTGGACTGCTGCGTTCGCCATAGCTCCAGGTCGCACAGTCTCCGCGGATCGCGCGTGCGTCCGGGCTGGATGCCACCCTTCAAGTACTAAGCTCGAAGCCCCGCCCCCGGCCCGCTGTACCTTGCCCGGAGCCCGCTCTGCCGCTCTTCAGGCCTGCCCAGAGACAGAACCGGGGTGTGTTCTTCTGCTCCTAGCTCTCTCAGGTGGACAGTTCAGTAGGCACTGCTCCTTGCTTGCAATTGCTATGGAGTTCAAGGCTACGGGGAGGCGAGGCCACCTTCTGTGATGTTTTCACCTGCTGGGTTTCTAAACAGAGCCTCTGAGAGACAAGTGCACAGCAGACCATCATTGCTTCCTGCCTCTGTTGAGAAAGGGTCTCGTGTAGTTCAAGCCGGTCTGGAAGTCTAGCTGATGTTGACTTTGAGTTCCTGATCCTCCTGACTCATGCTGGGATATCTGGCCTGTATCACCACACCTGACTACATCCCCTATTCCCTCGATGCTAAACATAAGGGTAGCAAGCCTTTAGGTGGCCTATGTCAACATTTATCATGTAAGTCTTAAGAACTCATCATTTGTACATCTTGCTGTGTTAGCTTTATGTACCACTGTGACAAACATTTGAGAACAGCATCAAAGGAGGAAAGGTTCATGGCTTCAGAGCTTTCAGTTCAAGGCCATCTGGACCCACTGCTTTGGGCCTGAGGAAAGGCAGCCAGAGAACTTAACAGAGGCTGTGAGAGATAAGAGAAAGAACTGGAAGAAATTGTTCAAAGATATGCTCCCAGTGACCTGCTTTTTGTAGTCAGGCCCTGCCTCCTATATCTTCCAATAATGCCACCAAACTATGAATCCACTTACAGATGACTTCATTGACTAGATTAGAGCCCTCACGATCCAATCACCCACCAACGACTGGTTCCAGTCATTGGGGGGAAAGCTTTCAATACGTCATACCAAAAACTACTGTCATTTTCGTGCCAGGCGCCTTAAAGTGCTTCACTTTATTTTTAATTAGTATATGCTCTTTCTCCGTCCATACTGCTTGCCCCAGATTACAGGTGAGGAAACAGTGGGAAGTCAGAAAGCCTTGGCTCACACAGCTAGGGAGAGGCATTTAGGCTGGCTTAGTTTCCTAATGCTATATGAACATACCATACCTCTCACTGCAGATCACTAGCTCTTTATAATCACCTCTTTGTAAATGTCATCGAGCCTGTCCTTCTCCATTTTAACCTCTCCCCCCTTTTTGAAGTGATTAAACTATAAAGGGAACTTTGATTTCTTCCCCTTCCTCACCTTCCATGGCCCTTTTCGGTAATATTATATCAGCAGTTATGAAACATTATGAGATTAAGTGGCTCAGTTTTAGCTGCAAACTGGATGTCAACCCTTTAGACATCTTTGTATGTTGCTTATACCATAGAGAAACCTAGAGCGAAGCTAGCCTTGGATGCTTGATCCTCCTGTGTCAGCTTCCCAAGTGCTGAGGATACAGCAAAATACAGCGGAGGAAGTACTGACAAAGGAACATCCAGACATGTGGACAAGAGCTGACACACTACTGGAATTCTCACTGAATGTAAACATGACATTTTGGAAAACGTGGTAAGAAAGAAGGTGGAAGATTCTCTCAAGGAAGTGATTAGGGCCTACTTGTATAGAGAACTAACTCCCATCAGTTGGCCTCTGACCTCCACATTAAAGTACAAAAAAGCACATGTACAAACAAAAAGAAAGAAAGAAAGAAAGAAAGAAAGAAAGAAAGAAAGAAAGAAAGAATAAATTGGCCACTGAGTGGGTATGTTGTTCATTTGTGAACTTTCATTAACTCAAAGTAAAATGGTTGAAAATTTTATCCTGTTAGAATAGGCTGCATCTTTTTGTAAACAACTCTTTCAAAAGCAAAGAAAAAACCACATCAAGATAAATGGTTAAGCTGTTTCTGAGGTAGAGCTCCATCTTTCATTCGTATACAGTAACCACACAACTGATGAAAGGCTGAATCCCAAGCACAGCAAGTAGAAAACCTGTGCTTGGGAGCACCTTTGGAGTGTCCTCCCTCTGTTCTGGCTCCCCTTGCCGGTCTGATTTCTGGCCAGGTATAGTAGTAGAGTGTGGCTTGCACTGAAACTCTCTGAGGTAAATGTGGGTCTTTTCAGGGTGGCACTGAGAGCAAAGCTGAAAGGCCTCTGAGCCACGTGGAGGACCATGGTACTGGCCTCTTGGGGACAAAATGCATGACACGGGAACACCTTTTCACCATCAGCATACCCTTGTGTTAGCAAAAGACTAGCAAAGGGGACAATGCACAGATGCACAGGAGATGCCAACGTGAGCAGTATGTTCACACAAACTTTATTCAGTACCCTGTATTTAAAGTACAAAATTTCTCTCTCTCCGTATGTATGTATGTATGTATGTATGTATGTATGTATGTATATATGTATGTATGTATGTATGTATGTATGTATGTTACCTTATTAAAAACAGAACCAAACAGAACTTTGGGTTCTAGGAACAGGGATATTCTTCTCAGGCCTTCAGTGTCCTGGTGGTGACCTTCTGTTTTTTCCATGATGTGGACAGTGACACTCAGGCCTGACTTGTACCTCAGTCCACAGCATTCTGCACAGCTTAGGAGGTGGCTTTAAAGAGGTGTTCTAACTCCATGCTGGGCTCCCGGAGGGACTCTCATACCCCATGTACTGGTTCGGAGCAGGTACCACTGACTACAAAGTCATCAGTTATCACGGTACAGCTGAAGCAAATGGTAGTGCTTAAAGCTCTTTTGGTCTAACCTGTCAATGACTGGCTTTGTGTCGTGGGCCCAGATCTTCTCTTGTACAAGGGACTGGCCAGCACACCATGAAAGTACATGGCTTCATCTTCTGACCGTCCTTCAACTTATACAGGTTCAGCTACAACTGAAATAGGTGCTAAGCCATTGTCTGGCTGTCAGTGGTGAGCCTGGCCAGTCACCCATGGAAAAGATCTGAGAGTCTGTGGTCACAATCTGGGCCTGGACCTGCAGCACCTATCTTCAGCAACGGGCACACAATTCTTCCCCTAATGAACAGTAACAGACATGATTTTAATGCTAGGACCCTGGTTGCTACCGCCAATTCCAAAACCAGCTCTGGCCTCTCTTGCTAAGTTATTCCCCTTAATACTCCTCTAAAAGTAGTTTCTAATTCTGTCTTCTTAAAACGGCATTAGAATAGAGGTTAAGAAGAAAACATTTAAAGACTACGCAGGCTCCTTCAGGAAAGCCTGGAACCTTCACTGTTCCAATTCCCTTCCTCTGTGCATACTCTATGCAGTTCAGGATGACCTGGGCCTGTGTGACAGAGAACTAAGGCAAGTAAACTTACAACAGGAAGCTGGTGGTGGTGGCGCACGCCTTTAATCCCAGCACTCGGGAGGCAGAGGCAGGTGGATCTCTGAGTTGGAGACCAACCAGGTCTATAGAGTGAGTTTCAGGACAGCCAGAACTGAAAAACCTTGTCTGGGGTGAGAAAGCTTGTCTGGGTTGGGTGGCAGGGATAACGTTATAGCAGAGTCCTTCCAAAGAACATGTAGCAATGTCTAGAGTGATTTCTGTCACACCTGGTGGGTGTTGAGGGGTTGACTTGTACTACTGGCATCTTGTAGATGGAGGCCACGAATGTTCCCAAATATCCTACTGAGTACAGGATAGCCCAACACAGGAGGATGGAGTACCAACTAGTCCCAGAATGGCCAACAAGGCCAAAGCGGCTTTGCAGCCCATCCCAGCAGTGCCTAGTATCTGAAGTTGGAGGGGATTCACTTCATGGGCTGTGACTAGCAGGTGCCAGCAGTGACTGCCGCTGGCATTGGTGGCTTCAGTCTTCAACCCTAGCTCCTTCACTCACTTGTAGGTTGCATATGGGCTTCCTAAAGACACAACGAGCAGGCTCTGAAGCTGTTCCTTTTTGATTTGTGGCACACAGAAGAAACATATTTCTACAGTACACTGGAGTAAACAGAGGAGACAGTTTATTGAGCACAGTGAGCAGTGTCAGGTGCCAGTCATGTCCAGGGAGGAAGAGATGGTGTTTCCTGATCAGTGTTTCCTGCACATCTGTTCCCTCTGTGGGGTATGCAGGCGAGGAAACTGCATGAAGCACCAGAATGGCAGGAGAAACTTTAGAAACTTATAGTAGGTTTTTACAGTAGTTGCAATCAGCAGAAGTTCTGTGATAACAATCAGTACCTGAAAATCTCTCTCTGCCCTCTCTCTTTTTTCTCCTTAGCACTCCTTAAAAATTCCTCATTAATTGATAATCTTATAGACTAGAATTGCACATGATTCTTAAAGCTTAAAGTGACAGTACAGCATTGGATGCTAAAGTTGACAGATCCTATAATTTTTAGAAGAGCCGTGGCTCATAGAAGGCATTTGAGCAGAAGTTTGCTGCACTTGAAGTACATGAAGCAGTAAGCTAGCTGATTTTACATTCTTTGAATGTTTTTTTTGTTTGTTTTCCCCTTGCCCAAAGAAACCACAGGAAACTGAGCAAATAACCTAAATGAAGACTATGACACAAGCTGAACGAAGGCCATCTTCCCCCCAACATTTGCTCTCCCTTTCAAAACCCAACAGGCTGTTCTTTTTCTTTTTTTCCTCCTACTAGTCCTGGACGATTCAGCAGCCTTCATGCTTGTACGTTCTGAAGAGTCATTGTGGGCTTCAGATTTCCCTTCCCATTCACCAGTTCCAAAATGCACGGCACTGCGTGCTTAGATGCAGAGCTCACACTGAGAGAGTTCTGGAGGCTGGGGGGCAAAAGGGGTTTGTGCACCAGATGAACAGTTTTGTTCCCACTGCCAGAGCCTGCCCAGGCTTAGCTCTGGCTGGCATGAATCAAGTGGTTCAGCAGGTCTATCCTGCGACACTGGTCAAGTGCCTGGGCCAACTTCCCCACTGTGGCCCCCTTGGTGCCTTCCCGCATCAGCCACTTCTGAAGCATTTGGTAAACTTTCTCTTTCAGTCCATCTCTTTCATAGTCATGGTCAATTTCATCGATCTGAGACTCAGTAAAGCCCAGCTTGCGGGCACAGTTTTTCCACTGCTTTCCTAGGTTTTCCCTGATAGGGTTCAGGTGTTTATCAGTCAGACTAGTGGCATTATCTGTTAAATAGAAAAGAGAAGAAGCATCAGGCTGTAGCCCATTTGACCAGTCTAGTGGCTTGTATTGCTGTAAGGGCCCAGGAAAGTAAAGAATATGGAGAGGCATAGAAAAGAAATTTTTTTTGTTTTGTTTTGAGACAATCTTGCTTTGTAGCCCCTTTGTCTCCCTGGGACTGGGATTATAGTGTGCATGCCTGGTGATAACTGTTATTGACTTGTTGGACAATACTTGACCTAATCACAGCCATTAAGGAGTCTTCATATGAGTTAAATAGGGGGCTGCTTCCTTCTTGGCAGATGTGCAGCTTCCTGAGCCATAACTGATGTCTTCATGAACATACCCTACATGGCTAGCTGTTCTATTCAACTCCCACTTGAGTCCTGTTCTAGTTAGACTAACTGGATGTAATGGGCAGTGGTGGTGGGGCAGGGAGACTGTCTGTCAGCTTACACAGGGCATAGTCCAAGGCCACCCATTTCTAGACAGTTCACTTTCCTCTTAACAAGGACACCGAGACCAAGTGTAACCTTCATTTAATTACTATGTCTTCCCTTATCTCTCGGTGGATGAGAATATAAACTCGTCAAGGTTTTCTCTATCAAAGACCCTTCATTTTATATATACACGGCCTTTCTCTAGTCATTAGCTCCATCACCTTAGATGTTCATAAAAATAATACATAAAGGGAACACATGAAGATAAGAAATGGCCCAGTGTGCTGGTACATGCCTTTAATCCCAGTACTTGCGAGACAGAGGCAGGTGGAATTATGTGAGTTCAAGGCCATCCTGATCTGCAGAACAAGTTCTAGGGCAACCAGGGATATATGTGTCTCTGTGTGTATATATGTGTGTATATACACACACACATATACATATACAGACACAGATACAGACACACACAGACACACACACAGGTGGTGGTGGTGGAGAGGGAAATAAAGATAGAAAGATATAGAGAGGAGACAGAGAGAGAGAGAGGAAGAGAGGGAGAAGAAGGGAGGGAGGGAGAGAAGGAGGGAGAGAGAGAGAGAAGAGGAAAGAGAGAGGGAGAGGACATATCAAGAAAGAAAAGAAAAAGTCACCATGATAGTCTTTCATTCTCATGCCACCTCAGAAGGCTGACTCTAAGGGAAACCCCACTTTTTTTCTCCCTCAGCTCCCAGTCTTTCTTCAGTACCATAGTGCAGAGTCTGTCAACTGTGGAAGCAGAATGAGAACTTCTTAAGATAACTGTAAATCACCAGTCTCTGTAGGAGCCTTGGGTGTCAGTAGAGACACAAAGGTAACTCCAGTTCCTCTAAAGCTAAGAACACATCTCCCAGGCATTTTGAAGATCATTCCTCAGATGGAATAGTACAGGGATTCAAGCGGCCTATGGGCCAAGTCTGGTTTCTACTTTTTGTAAATAGTTTCAGGAACCATATCTGTCCTCATCCTTGTGAAAATTTCCTGTGGCTGCTTCTGCACTCCAATAGAGAGAGGCCTCAGTGCCAGCAGAGCCTTGCTTGTTAAGTGCCCCTTCATAGGAAAAAAATGCCAACCCCTTAGTATATCAGAAAGTTGAATTCTGGTTTCTTTCTGAGACAGGGTCTTGCTATAGCCAGGGTGGCCTGGGACTCACCATCTTCCCACATTAACTGCCTAGTGATGGATTATTGGCATACATCAGCACACATGGCAGAGAGCTGTGGACACCTCTGAGCATTCTTGTTCTGATTACAGAGTGCTATGGAGGGCATGGTCTCCTGTACTTTACAGAATCCCTTTGCTGTAGAGCCAAGGGAGCTTTCCCTAAGTCTGAACAGGATCCTGGATGATAGTTTAACATTCACAGGCAGTGCCCTATGCTTTCAACTCACACTGACTACTTTAAGCTTTATAGCACCACCACCAATTAGATACTGTGATCCTCCCCGTGTTAAAAAAATAGATTACAAAGGATTAAAAACTGCTGAGTAGGGGCTGGAGTAGACGGCTCGGCAGTTACGAGCGCTTGTTCTTGCTTGGGTCAGTTCCCTGCATTCACAGAGCTTACAACTATCCATAACTCCAGTTCCAAAGGATCTGACACCCTCTTCTGACCTCTGTAGGCACCAGGCATGCATGGAGTACATGAAGACAAAACAGTCATACAAATAATATATAAATTAAAAAAAAATTAAGGCAGAAACAAGATAACTCGGGGAGAATCTTAAAAGAAACCTTAAGATTCTATTATGTTCCTCTCAAGAAGTAAAACTGGTCAAGAGGTGTCCAAGTCATAAGATACTTATGTCCAAGGTGTCCAAGTCAGAAGCAGCCACAGGAAATTTTCACAAGGATGAGGACAGATATGGTTCCTGAAACTATTTACAAAAAGTAGAAACCAGACGTGGCCCATAGGCCACACCCTTAAAAAATATTCCCTTCAATGTTGGAGACTGAGTTCAAGGCTTCATGCATGCTAGGCAGGCAATCTACCATAGCTACACTTCAGCCCAACACTGGTCCTTAAGAATCTTACCGAAGATGGCTTGGTGCCTGGAAGCTGACTCTTCTTTGCAAGGGTTGTATGGTGGTTGTGAACTCAGTCCAAGATCCATATAATTGTAGTTTCCAATCTGAATACCAGAACTATTGAATATAGTACATCTTATGGAGTCATCTGAATAGAAAAAGAGATGTAGGTGAGTGCATGGGATTGAGAGCAAGAGAAAATACATGGATGGAAAGGTATGGGGCTTCATTACAGACGTTCAGCTGCTTATCCTGTGATACCCTTAACAGTCATTTCTTTATAATGTGGCTTCTTGACTTTACAACCATTAACAAGACATCAGTGTCAGCAAGAATGTGGGAATATGAAGGATCTATACATTGTTGGGAATGAAAATCATATAGCCAATGTAGACAGCAGTATTGAGTTTCTTAGAAATTAAAGATAGAATTACTATGATTCAGTAATTCCATTCTAGGTATGAATGTATACATACATACACATAGAGAGACACAGAGACAGACAGATTGCCTAAAGATGTCTGCATCCATGTTTACAGCAGCATCACTCAAAACAGCAGATAGCATCCCAAGTGCGACTTTATTCTCCTCCCCCACTCACTGGTAACCCATCCTCCTTATATGGCAGCTAGCGTTAGAAAGCTCACATTCGTTAGTTATACCTGGTCACAGAAGCAAGGAAAAGAAAGAATCAAGCTGCAGTGAGAAATACGATCTGTTCATCTACTAAGTTGGTACTCGATGAGATCCTCCTTAGGGTATAGTAATTCCATGACTGACTGTGAACTGAGATCCCCTACTACTGGCAAAGCCTTACATCATTAAGGGGATCTATTCTTGGCAGGACTGAGGCCTAAGGAGAGAGTAAGGACTCCTGCAGCAAACTAGTAAGATTGAGCTACTTATATGGAGACAGGACCAGAAAACAACACATTAAATATTAGTTCTGAAAAAAAAAATACTGGTTCTGAATGCTTTCCATCAACTCAGACTCAAGCTCCATGAGGAAGACGCTCAGGCTGCTTGTTCATGGTACAGCTCTCCAGCAGCCTGGTACAAAGCAGGAAGTACTCTAGAGATTTTTATTAAATTAATCACAAATGAATAAAATACACAAGCCATCTTAGCTGAAAATGCAAAGGGAACAACAGTATGTCTAATGAGTGTACGCATGGTATAGACCTCACTTATTACTTAGTTCACCAAAGTGCTTCCCACAGAGCTTACAGGAAAAACCTACAGAAAAGGCAGGAAACTTTGGGGAATTTGTCATTTTGAAAGAAACTGGTCTTTTGTGTGCTTGTTTGTATCAAGGACCACAGAGCCTCATGCATGCTAGGACAGTTCTGTACCACTGAGCTACACAGCCAGCTCAGAAAGTTCTGTGGTTCTCAAAGCTTCTTCGTATGTTGGTTCCAGGACTCCTAGGATACAGTACAGTTATTGCTAACATCTGGATAAGTGAAGGGTTACTGATGACATCTGGTTAAGTGACGGAAGCATGGGAACTATTATTTGGTAGTAATGATGACTACTAAGTCACTTCAATGCTAAGGTATTAGAAACTATATCAACTAGCTTGGATCTTACCAGAGAGAGCTATGAAAATGAAAACCACATTTATTTATTTATTTATTTATTTATTTATTTATTTATTTATTTTTAACCACAAATTGTAGTTTATATCTAAATAAGAAACAAAAATACCTAAGACTTCTTTCTTACCCTCAGAAGACAAGAAGCAAGATAAAAGAATTTAAGAAAATACTTTCCATTTATGGGAGTGGCTGGGTATCTTGAGATTAGTATCTCACACAGGCTAAAGAGAGAGATGCCTATCAGTTATAAGGATATATGATCCACATTGGAGACATCTATGGTGAGTCACAGGCAAACACAATTACACACCAAGTGCTCTGATGGAGACCATTTCAATGTGGAAGGCTGCATCTGCCCACTACAGGTTCTAAGTAATGTATTCTTTGTCCCCATCAATAACTTAGACTCTGTGACAATGCTAGTGGTGCTTCATTCTCAAGAGTGAAAAAGGACAAGATGGGGACTATTAAAAATTCACCTGTTAGTGGCAAGGAGAAGTATGGCATGGTGGATGTGTTTCCCAGTACGTTGGTCTCGGGCACCGGAGTTTTATAAGGATTATACATTTGACTTGAATTTGGCTGATACCAAATTCTTGTACCTGTAGTTCCAAACCCATGCTGATTATAGAATCCATTGTTCCAAATCGGCACTTGTGTTTGGCTGGCTGGCCCTGACAGCTGGTGTGCTGCATTTCCATGACTGGTTGTGCTGGGATCGGAAGGACCCTTTACTCCTGCACTCCAAACACTCTCCCGAGCTCTCTGCTGTGCAAAGGGGTCATGGGAGACCCTTCGTTTCCTTTCCTCCTCTCTGTTGTAAGCCTCATTCTGCCTTGGCTGTGGTTTTGTCTGTTTATCCACGAATTCTCCAAAAGCATGGTAGCTGGCTTCCTCTTGAAGCTTAGCCTGCACACTGCGCTCATTCTCTTCCTGTGGGAACTCTGGGGAGGAAGAAAACCAAGACTCCTCCACAGGCCCCATCTGGAGTCCCTGGGAACTGTGCAGCGAACCGGGTTGTTCTGTAGCAGAGAAGAAATGATAAGTATAAAAAGTAAATAACACTTTTGTGAACCTGTCCTTGAGTGACATACTGAAAAAGGAATTATGAAAAGCATATAAGAGTCCCCTTCCTATAAGTTTAGTATATGATCAGCAGGAACCCTGGCTGCCAAGGAAGAACAGAAGGAAATTATCACAAGCAACAAAAGAGAGAGTGTTTCAGGGATGGCTGAGGCAGAAGGGGACTTATATTGGACTGAGATGGTGACTATCACCTTGAAACCATGTGGAGTCTAAAAAAAGCAGCAGCTATGTCCTGGGCACATCCTATTGTTCTTTTGTTCTTGAAAAGCCTGTAGGAAGGCTGGAGAGATGGCTCAGTGATTCAGGGCACTTATTCTAGCTGAGGACTTAGGGTGGTTCATAACAACCTGTAACTAAAGTTCCTGATCTGATGCCCTCTTTTGGCTTCCATGGGCATTGTCCATATATGGCACACAGACTCAGACACACATACACCATATATATGTATATATGCTTGTGGGTGTGAAGGACTGGATGAGGTTAGGTAATTTGCTCCAGATGAGACGAGATGGCAGTGTCCTTGGTATCTCACACTGTCTTTCCTTTTGACATAATAGAAAAGCACCCCTGTGTGAATCTGAGACCAACGTTTCTGCAGTGCTCTGATCTCAAGGACTGTGTATCCACATGTGTCCCTGACTTCCTCCTGAACTGTCAACGTCTTTCTGTGAAATGCATTAAATCACTTGTGTCAGGACACTGTGATTTTGGTGAGCATACAGTTAAAAAGTATTTCTAAGATAAGAGACTGAATTCTTGAGGACACAAAAATTCTATTAAGTCAGTTGTTTGATTTTACATTTTCTTCTGGTTTCCACAAGTATTTTAGGGGTAAAGTGAATGAGTGAGTATGCAAATGAACAAACGGGTGTGTTACCTGAATTTGACCTGCTTGGAGGTAAGGGCACACAGTCATTCTGCAGAGAAAACGTTCTCTCCAAAGCTGGGCTTTGACTTTGATACTCTTTCTATAAGTGAGAAGACACATACACACTTTAGTAACCAGTAGAAAATTATTCTGAAAAGAATCTACCTCTTTACACCATCAAGATATTTCATATAAATTTAATAAACAGTAATCTTTTCTTCACAAACTAAATACTTTCCAAAGAGATAAACTGATACGTCAAATTAACAAGGTTGGAGGACTTATATTTCCTAAATTCAAAAGTTACCACAAAGCTAACAAAATCAGAATGCTGATACTTACATAAAACAGACACACAGATCAAAGGTGCAGAAAATGTAGTCTAGAAATACTCTCTATCCCCATTACACAGTTAACTTATGTTTGACCAGGGTGGCCTGGAACATTAGTGAGGGGAAAACTGGATATACACATATGAAAAATGAAGATGGACCCTTACCATATAAAAAAAATTAACTAAAAATACATCAGTGACTCAAATTTAAGGGCTCAAAGTATAATGCTCTTAGAAGAAAGTACAGGAGAAAACAGTCATGACGCTGGTCCCTGCACAACAATTTCCTGATCACGACACCAAAAGCACAGCTAATGGCTCTCATGCAATCAAATCAAATTTATGTCACATCAAAATGAAAGTGTGTGTATCAGAAGAAACTATCAAAAGAGTGAAAAGGCGGCCCACAGGATGGGAAAATATTTGTAAATCATATATATATTTGATAAGAGAAGAATATTCAGAATATATGAAGAACTTCTCCAACTCAACAACAGCAACAACAACTACCACCACCATCCACACCCCTACAAATAACCCAATTCAGAAGCTTTCAAAGGGAGGGTTGTGGATAGAATCTGATTGTAGATTGCAGTACATGCAAGGTCCTGATTGGATCCCAAGCACTATAATATTCTAGTCAGGCACAGGGGTGGGACACATCTGTAACCCCAGCATGTGGGTGGAGTAAGAAGGATTATGAGTTGGAGATGTGCTCTGGCTATTTAGTTTGACACAGTCAAACAAAACCAACATACAAACACCCCCAAAGTGGAAAAAACTGAAGTAGTGTTTCTCCAAAGGAGATATATATGGGAACTAGAGGCAGCCCAGCAGAGACACTCAACTATCAGGAAATACAGCCTAATGGTGAACAGAATGGGTCAAACAGAACACACAAAGGGTGACCACAGCATAAAAACATCACATTTGTGAGGATAGGGCAACTGAACTCCTATAGGCTGCTGCTGAAGAACATGAGATGGTTCTGATGCCATGGAAAATAGTTTAAAGGCTCCTAAAAGTGAGACAGGATGTCTGCATGGTCTACCCATTCCATTCCTAAGAAAACAGCACAAAGAAATGGAAGCACACACTTGGCCCAAAAACCTGTACACCAGTGTTTCCACGACACCATTCAACAGCAGCTCAGAGGGTGTAACATCCCTGACATCTATCAAGAGGAGGGTCACAGAGAACTGTGGTACTGTCCACACAGTAGAGTATTATTCAGAAACAAAATGAATGACATGGTAAACAAAATGCTTCTACAAATGGAAAAACACTATGGCTTTATTGCTGTGGGCTACCTAGAACAGGCAAATTCAGAGACAGGAAATAGACTCCCCAGAGGCTGGGGAGAGGGAAAAATAGGGACTTATTATTTAGTAAGTTGAGCTTGTGTTTGTGATGATAAAGCTCTAGAAATGGAAAGTGGTGATGGCTAAGCAACCCTGAACTATACACTTCACATGGCTAGAAAAGTTAATTTTACGCATATTTTATCACAATAAATACAAAATAGAGGTGCTTAATCATAGTATGCACAAGGTCCTCAGATCAATCCTCAGGATTAGAAGAAGGTGATAAGAAGGATAATCTTCTTTATATAAATAATATTTTTATTAAAGAAAATATGAAATGTAGAAAATTATATATTTCAAAAGCCTACCAAAGATATAAGGTTAACATTTTTATAACTTTCCTCCAAGATTTTTTCCTATTCACATTCATATTTTGTTCTTAACAGAATATTACTATCAGTAATTGGTTCAAAGTCATTTCCTGAATTATTCCTGGCATTATTTGGGAAGGAATGCCACAGCATATTGTATGTCTACACCTTTAGCATTTTAAATATTGCTTTTACTTATCACAGAATTTAACTTTAAGTATTGTTTTGTTTGGGTCAGAGTCTCACTATGTAGCCCTATGTTTGGAACTCTATGATGTTATATAGATCAGGTTGTCTTGAACTCACAGATATCTACTTGCCCCTGATTCCTGAGTGCTGGGATTAAAGTATGTTACCATGCCTAGCATTTTCATGCATCTTTTAAACATTTTGTGAAAGTGATTTTTATAGTTATTTTTCAATACACAATGTATTTAAGGAACAGTCTTGAAAATTCACTCAGGTAGAACATCCAGAACCACCTCTGTCTGGGTTTCCCTCCAACCCTCTACCCTGTTCTCTGTAGGAATCTCACTCAGAGTGGGAGGCACAGCCCCTTTCTCCCTCTAGGCACAGGCACACACATTCCAAAGTATACAAATACACACACACACACACACACACACACACACACACACACACACACACAC